GGGAAGCGAGGTCAGTAAATGAGAAAAATGAAACACGCCACAACACCTGGGACCAAGACAAAAGAGAACGAAATTGAGGATGCTTAACTAGCAGTGCCGCTTACAAGAAGGCCGAGCCGAGAGGGATACGAAAGGAAATTAATAGGAGGAGTGCCTCTGCCAGCAATGACAAAACAACAAAAAAAAAAGAGCTGCCGTTGTAACAAGACAGCGTCACACAGACACGTGAGAAGCTCAAGGTCACCGAGAATGTATGTATATGTACACATGATGAATATATGGACAATCAAACAAAAAAAATCGAAATTGCCTCAGAAAAAAGTGTGTAAAAGTTGTCCTTTTCATGTGCCACTGTTTGTTATAGCCGGAGAAAAAGAACCGGCCGGCATACGCGTTGTGAGAGCGGGAGAGGAGCAGAACCCCGTGTCAAGTCAACAAAGGAGCCATTTTGGCCCCTCGAGACGGCAACTGCAGCACTGCCCGTTCCCCAGTCCTCCAATTTACCGCATCGCCAACCGACACATTTCCTGCCGCCCCAGGGGATTCAGAGTAGGATTGTAAAGATCATCACAGGCAAATAAAAAAAAAATGCAACAGCCGAGTAATACGGGGCTCAAGACCTAGCAAAACGGAAAAAAAAAAACTGGAGGGGAGCTTTGCCTTGACATGACAGTGCGCATTCTTCAATGAAGCATAGACCGCATGCCAACCGGCTGACCGATGAAGATACGTCCGTCTTACTGCTAAGGGTGTCAGAGCGGAAAATTTCCTATACATAGGAAAAAATTCGAAAAAGCGTCCCCGGATCTTGCTGATGGAAAATCGACCAACCAATGAAATTGCACGGAACCGTCAGAACCTCCCGAAAAGACCCTCTGACGCACACGCGCGAGGGCGCCGCTCGCCTGTGTGCTTGCGCCCTGCTATGGGGCACAGCACAACACTATCGCGCGGTCCCATTCTAGAACACATGCCTCATGACACACCCGAGCAGCAGCCGGGCGGTGAAGCCACGCAGACACCTGCCGCCGCCGCTGCTGAGAAAAACAGCAGCAGCAGCAGCGGCGGCGGCGGCGGCGGCGGCGGCGGCGGCGGCAGCGAGGTTGAGCCTGGCTCTCTTCCACAATTTTCTTGCTTTTGACCAACTCCTCCTTCATTTCCTCCAGCGTTTATTTCCTTCAGCGTTCTCCTACGACGGTGAGGCTGCCGCGTTCGATAGCGCGCCGCGTGTTATCTTTTGCTGACGCGGCAACCATACACTGCCCCGTCCTCTCTCCAAACTTCGTTTTCTTTTGATTCAGCTTTCGCGCAGCGCGCCTCCTGCTGCCGAACGGCGCGGACCTCGACTTTTTTTTTTTGGGAGGGTCTGCTGGTGTGGGCGCTGCAGCCCCACTGGAGGGACAGTTGTCAGACATGTAGATCTCGTGGTTGGCCGATGCGATTCGGATGCGGTTTGTTGTGTGGTATAGCTGTAAACCCCAGGTAGAGGGCTGTAGGGTCGCTTTCACGAGAGGAGCAAAGGTCGCCTTGGGCGTGGAGCAAATAGCCCAAAAAAACATGTTTTTTGGTGTTGTTCGTCCGCCCTTTTACTTTAATAGAAAACCTATCATACAGTCAGCTCTATTGGACCTGTGTCCAGGTGTGCGTAACGCATGAAGAGCCATGCTGCTGTCTGGACGCAGAGCTGCCTGCACAAATAAATTGACTTGATGTATAGTTTATTCAGTATTAACAGCGGGATTCTCAAGAACCAAAAAAAGAACCAAATCCGCGTGCCCCCCTCAAATTTTGCCGAATGGACCGGACGTTTTTTTTTGCCCCAAATTCCGCCGATTTGACACCCCTAACTGTGGGATTAAAGGCGCGAACACGCTCACTGCGTGTGCGTGCGTGTGTGTATTTTTAGGTCCCATTTACTGTTGCGGGCGCCAGGACTTCGCTCTTCGAAGCACCAGCGTAGCGGGTGACGCAGAGAACGAAGGTCAACGATCGCTGGAGTCATTGTTCACGCTGTGCTCGAGGGAAGGTAACTCTGCCGTGTGACGGTTTCATGACAACGAGACGAGAGAGCGATAAGGAACGAAATCACAACGCGTCTCACAGCAACGGCAAAAAAGAAAAGAACAGAACGGGCTCTGCCACTGTACGTGTAAAAAGGCTGAAGATTACGCCACCGCTATACATAGAGATAACCCTAACCCTTAGTACTTTTCTTTCCCTCGCTGCCTCGGCAAGGTTTTGCGTAGGCATGACCCTTAGCGAGGAGGGGGGGGTTTCTAGCGAGCAGGGCTAGACTCACCCTCAAGGGACCGATACCTTCTTGCTGCGGCGCACCCGCCGCGAGGCGTGCGTAGTGGTGGAGTTGGGTCGGCACTGGTGCGTCAGGTACAAAGGTGCAGATGCGCGGGCCTCCAGGCCGTCGGTGTAGGCAGCAATGCCCATCTCATCTTTGTGCGCGGAGGCAGACGTCATCAGAAAGGTGGACGGGCACTATGTACACGGCCCTAGGTTTGCTAGAGGGAGCTGTACTGTCTCAGTAACCTGGTTTTGCCATCAAAGGCGGAGGGGACAGGTGGTGACGAACTGACTGGGCTGGTTGACCCTTCGGCGCGAGAATCTTCAGACCAAGAACCCTAAGTGCAACGAGGGAGAAAGCGAGGAACCGACTGGGAAGGACAGCAACGAGAGCGTGCAAGAAGCGAAGCGGGTCGAGTTTGGTCGTGCTAAGACTGGCCACAGCGGCACCGGAGCANACTGACTGGGCTGGTTGACCCTTCGGCGCGAGAATCTTCAGACCAAGAACCCTAAGTGC